TAGGGATGTATACAGTTTCTGTGTTTAATACAGGTGCAAAACGAGGATAACTTAGTTAGGTTATATTGTATGTAGGTATATAATATTCTAGAAATGATCAAGAGATAACAATTGGTACTATAGACACTAATATTGTGTACATTTTAGTTATGGTAAAGAAAGTATTATGTATATGAAGGCGCCGGGGGGGTTGGTACAAACATCAACATCCCGATCATCGTCTTCACAGTCCATAGCAGGGCGTAGGATTTTATAATCAGGCCGAATAAATTACAAAAATATCGGACGTCGGCGATCCGTCTCCTATGACAGTCACAGCGCTCGCTCTCCACCATTATGCGCACGCAGAACTGTCTGTTTGACGTTCCGCCAGAGTACGATTTATGGTACCCTCGTCCGATGAATTGTAATAAAACCTCCTTCAAAAATCAATTTAAATAATCGTCGCTCCGACATTATATATTATATTGTTTTATGATGTAAATACATATCTATAGTCAGAATTTTAATTCGATTCCTGATTTGACATGACTTATCGTCATTTTGTGAAATAATGATACCACATTTAGCAGTGTAGTGATGAACACAAAAATCGATAAACAGTAACGATGAAATCAGTAAATCAGGGAGGCATTCGAAAAATTACGGCTACCTAATGGTCTCAATGCGTATCCCATGTTGTCAAAGAAGAGGAAATAAATGAGTAAGCTAGATATGTTAATTGACAATAAAAATCACAGACACAATTCATAATAAATGTTACAGAAAGTAACAGCGATAGCGATAGCGATGACGGTGGCAATTTATAAAATTTCTGTTTTATTTGTCATGTTCCTTCATGATCACATTTTTTATTAATTTCACACACAATTACAAAAGAAAAGTCTCAGATCGTTAATTAATTGTCAATACTAAATTATCGGTTCAGAAATATTTTATTTCCTGATAAACTTAGTTTACGAGATTAAATTTATAAACGAGAGGAATCGATTCAGGAATATTCGATTCCCACATCGAATCATTTCGTAACGTCACTATTTATTACGTGCCATAACGTTGCAACACTGAAATTGTCAAATCTGGAATGGAATTAAAATTCCGAGTATATGTATATTAAGATGTTTATTTCTTTCTTTCACTGCTACTTACATACACATCTTTTTTATTTTGAGATTATGCCATATGACATTAAGTCCACCTAATATACCTACTTTTTTATCATAATGTGTTGGTACCAAATTGTAAAATAAATAAATAAATGAAGTTATAAATTTGGTTACGTCTTTTTATTATTTTTTGTGTTTCTGAATTAAGTTTCGTCTCAGTAATATAATAATTTTTTTTTATTTAATCTAATCTAAATCTAATCTTTGAAAAGTGCACTAAGTGATTTTCCTTTTTTATTTTCAATTTCAAAAAAGACAACAAATAGATTGCTTTTGAAGAGCCCGTGGCATAGAACCTCTTTTCCGTTTCTTTGTTTATGATTCCAAATAGAAATGACATATTCCGTTAACAAACGTTCGATTTATGACTTATGAATGGATTTTGAAACATGTCGCCGTGAAATATTGCTTATCAATACTGTTCGTATAAAAATAATTTTCCCCGTTGGTAGTAGCGCGATGTTTTATAGCTTTTAGCCGTACTCGATAAATTGCCACTCCAACACAATAAGAATCGTTCAAATCAGTAGACAAGGGGATGAGAGCGTTCAAGCAAAAAAAAATAGAAAATCGCTTCTAACGACAACAATGTGAATAACATTTGGGTTGAACACGCTTTGGAAACAATTAATAATCAATTCCATAGTGATGTTTTAATAGTATATTTATAAGGATTAATTAACAAATGCTTTGAAATTGACTTCAAACTTGTAAACGTATTAAATCACTAGTTTCTTCTTAGATATTGAGCTAACAAAATAAACAGCAAATAATTACTACCACAATAAAAAAAACGCCCACTGAAAAAAAAACTATTAAAATAGATACCGCCATCTGTTGATAGCCATCAAATCATATCATTGGTAAAATTGGCGGCAAAAATGACAGCTGTCATCCGCTTTAAAACGGATTTCAATATGGCGGAACGATAAACGGATTTTGTATTTTCAATTGCACGGTATGAATTTGTGCATTGACGGCAGTATTTATAGAAATCTAAATACCTATACATATAATAAAGAGAAACGATTTGATTGTTTGTTAATAATTTAAACGAAATTCCTTTATCATTGGCAAGTTTAAATACATAGGGAACGAGCAAATAGCTTCGCTAGAGGACGGATGGACAGACTGACACATATAAAGTTAAACCTTTTGGTATCTTTTTTGCTTGACGTTCAAAAGTGACTGTTGTTTGTCTACTTGAAATAAAGAATTTGATTTTAAATAAGAGATACGGGACGCTTTTCCGATGTTCATTCCGATATTATTCAACTTCCTAATATAAAAAAAGTCCTCTTTCGAAGAAATGTTAATTATTCGTGTGATAAGCTACGAGCATAAAACTCATCATTGGGCTGGTGATGATTATGCTGAGCAAATTATGACTTTTCTCACAAGGTGTGAGGGTTGAAGAATTAATCACCACGCTGACACAAGACACTCTTGAAACTTTAAATTAGAAATTAAATTTCTAAGTTTCCTCACTATGTTTTATTTCACCGATTGTCAATGGTGTCTAAATAAACATAGAAAGCAAAAGTCACGTTCATGGTACTTCTTCATTAGGTTTCAAATCCTTCATTTGAGACTGAAAATAAGAATAAAGCTATTTAATTATAAATACTTGCAACCCGCCCCGACTTCCAACGGATGGAATGTTGATACTAATTTCTGCATTATTTTATGGAAATTTATCCATTTTAAAAAAGCATTCAAACATAGTTTTAAACATTTAAGCATACATAGGGATATAAGGACACCAAAAGCGACTTGTTTTATACTATCTTATTGATTAAAAACCAAATAAAATATATGTGAAGAGACATTCATTACTACTCATGTAAAATTCAATAAACTTATTTGTATTTACAGAGAAATTAATTCAAAGATGGGCTTAAAATAATAATTAAAATTATTAACAATTTTAATACAATTTATTTCAGTATTACCATAATCTGTTAATATTATACAATCACTGGCTGTCCCGTTTCCAGAGAGATTAATTATAATAAATATTATCGGTATGAATACGAAGCTCATTCATTATATCTACCAGCCTAAAGATAATCTGATTCGAACTTTGTTACTACGTAAAATAAGGTGAAAAATAGACTATAAGAAAGGAATTAAATATTAATTTAAGATAAATAATTCATATATTTTTAATGGCAACATTATCATTATTTGTCAAAGTAGCACACTTCAGATAGCAACAGAGATTTTTTACACGATAGTGTTGCTATCGTGAGACATACTTTTTTACACTATTCATATTTGGACATCCCTTGATGTTAGGGAGCTTTGTCACCGTATCCGAAACTACAGAATATCCGGTATAACAAAATATTCGTAACCGTAACCGAATCCGAAAACAAAGTTTCGGATAAAATCGGATAGGGGTGGCGCCTAATTAAGACATGTTATGACTAGTCGTTTTGATCGGCCGAGGGCACCCTACACAAAGCCACACGCATTGTTTGTTTTCTTCTGTTGTACGAAACATAATACTGTTTCAGTAGTGTGTGATTTATCTATCTAGTGTCAGCTATTTTTTGGTATTAACCCCAAAATTGACCTTTTGTGTGTGCGAGAGCATTGATTCGGCTCCATCGGAGTGATACCACGGCCTCACATAAAACCGGCGTTTACCAACCACAGCGTTTTGTCTTTTCGTGTGAGCAGGGGAAGCCTAATCCTTTCCATCCGCACCCAATCTCTAAATCCCCAAACCCCTAATCCTCAAAAGGTCGTTTGCCGTCCTACCACATACATAAAAAATTTAACAATAAAAATCTATAACATTTATTCAAAAAACAAATACCGATTTAATTAAAATAAAATCGTGATATTTTTTGTACATAAGGGCTTTAAAACTGTACGGGCTTCAACAGAACAAAAGTGACTTTGTTTGTTTGTCTATTCAAACTAATTTCCAACTACCCACAGTTCGCGAGCCGAAACAAACAGGTTAATAGAAAACATTAAGTATGTTCCCTATTTGTAGGTTCTCTATTTGAAAAGTTTTGTTAGACTGTGGATTGGAACTTTGGTGAATTTAAAAATAACTGGCATAAACTATAAGTGTCATTTTTGAATTAAGAATCATACTATTCTACTTTTTTTATGTGATAAGTCAGCCAACGATCAGACGGATTCCCTGATTGACAGCAATAGGCGCCGCCCATGGACACCCGCAACTCCAGAGGCGTTGCCGGCGTTTTGGGGATTAGGGTTTTAGAGATTTATGGATTGGGGAGGGAAGGGATCGAGAAGGGGAAGGATTGGGTTTCCGGTAACCTCACTCACACGGCAAAACACAACGCTGTGGTTGTTTCACGTCGGTTCTCTGTAATGCCGTGGTATCACTCCGGTCAAGCCGACCCATTCGCGCCGAAGCTTGGCTCTCCCACATTTAAAAACACTACTTATTCTACTATTATTATAAATGAGATACTTTGTGAAAATGAATGTTCGATATTCTTCAACGCAAAAACGGATGCACCGATTTGAAATTTGATATGTATATGATAATTACATACAGGATTTACATATAAGCTTAACTTTTATCAACCATTCAGTAATAGATAGCTACAATGTTCCTGAGGCTATAAAACATCACGCTACCATCAAAGGGAGCCGAGCAGCGAGTGAAATCGCGCGAGAGAGGCTATCCTATTCCATAAAAAAGTGTTATTTTTATTCGATTCTTAATTTAAACATTGCTTCAATTTTCAAAGATAATACATGTATAAATGATTTATTCGGTAATTTATCATGTCTGATGTTTTTTATTTAGATCCTCATTGAAACTCTTATTCTGTTTGTCTACAGGTGAATGGCGAGGAGAGCGAAGGATGCTGGACATCACCAGAGATAAACCTATCAAGGTTTGCGTACGAGTCGTCGTGCCCGTCCGAGACCATCCTAAGGTTAGTAATAGTATCAATATTTCCATTCTTTGACAAAATTGTAAGTGTGGGATAGTCATGCTTCGGCACGAATGGGTATTCTCAAAGATTTGGGCCACGGCCTTACAGAAAAACAGCGTGAGACGACTGCATTGTGTCTAGCTGTGTGAGTGAGGTTATCGAAGGCCCAATCCTGCCCCAAAATCTCCAAAAACCTAATCTTCAAAACTAGAACGTACTACTCATAACTCCTCTGTTGTTGTGAATGTCCATGGTTGGCGCTGATTGCTTACCATCAGATAATCCGTATGCTCGCTTGCCGTTTTATCACATAAAATAAGAAAAGTAAATTGTAATTGAATTTTTTAGAATGATTTGAATTTAAAAATATGCCTTAAAACCTCATCTGGCTGAAAATACAAATAATACTAGAACTTTTAATTCCATTCCAGATTTGACAATTTCAGTGTTGCAACGTTATGACACGTAATAAATAGTGACGCTGCGAAATTATTCGATATTTAAATCGAATATTTCTGAATCGATTCCTCTCGTTTGTAAATTTACTCTCGTAAACTAAGTTTATCAGAAAATAAAATATTTGTGAACCGATAATTTAGTTTTGACAATTAATTAACGATCTGAGACTTTTCTTTTGTAATAGTGTGTGAAATTAATAAAAAATGTGATCGTGAAGGAACATGACAAATAAAACAGAAATTTTATTAATTGTTGCCGTCATCGCTATCGCTATCGCTGTTACTTTCTGTAACATTTATTATGAATTGTGTCTGTGATTTTTATTGTCAATTAACATATCTAACTTACTCATTTTTTCCTCTTCTTTGACAACATGTGATACGCATTTAGACCATTCGGGAGCCGTAATTTTTTGAATGTCTTCCTGAAACTGATTCACTGATTGTTTATCGATTTTTGTGTTCATCATTACACTGTTATATATGGTATCATTATTTCACAAAATGACAGTAGGTCATGTCAAATCAGGAATCGAATTAAAATTCTGACTATAGTAATAATATTTTGTTTATTTTCATTGCAAAAGGCCAAAATAAACTTAGCTATAGGTAAGTATTATAATTCAAGGTTCCAAATTCGCAATTTAAATTCGGAAATACCTTTTACCTTACAAAATGTATAAAACAAATAGGCTTACGCGGCAACATATTTTAGACTTTAATTTCGACTGTATTGAATCGAAATTAATGCGTATTTCTTCGAACTTGTAGCTAAGATTACACCCACTAGGTATACAAATAGTTAGTAATTACCAATTTGAACTAATTTACCAAAATAATACTTTTTCTAACACAACTTTAATTACCTCCTACATAATATTTTTTTATGTAGTAGGTCGGCAAATGAGCAGACGGATTACCTGATGGTAAGCAATCAGCGCCGCCCATGGAGGGTGTCCATGGGCGGACGGCGGCAACGGAGGAGTTAATATGAGTGCGTTGCCGACCGTTTAGGGATTAGGAATTGAAGAGGGATCGGGGGAGGGGAAGGATTGGGCCTCCGGTAACTTCACTCAACGGCGATTCACGCCGGTTTACTGTAAGTCCGTGGTATCACTCCGGTTGAGCCGACCCATTCGTGCCGAAGCATGGCTCTCCCACACTTAAATAATATAGGTTCCGAGCACTCACACGTTTTCCAAGAAACTCCGACCTCAAAAATAATAAGAACTGTATTAAAATCGCTACAAACAAAATCCCATCCAATTATTGACTCTAATACCTACTCCACAGAGATCAAAAATCCTTGCAAACAAATGGACACGCGGTCCATTTCCAAGCTCCTTTGTTATGTCTACAAATAAATTCACTTTCTTTTATTCTTTTAACGCAAATTGTTTGTTTCTGAATATAATAAATAGCGTTATTTTCTTTTTTAAATAAGGGGAGAGGTAGACGAAAGATGTTTGGCGTTGAAAAGAAAAATCTATTCAGAGAGAGAGAGAAGTTTCCTAATACAATAATGTTAAAAAAAGACGTAACACATAAATTCGAAAATTAAACAAAGAAACCTGAAATTAGTATATGAACTTTCCTATATTTAAACAACTTAATCTACTATATACAACTTAATATACTTAATTATACTATAATAACAGGGAAAAATAAAAAAAAAACATAAAAAAGAACTTATAAAACACATAACCTATATATGTTCAACACACATAAAGTACTTAAACAACTAAAACAACATCTATACTAATATTATAAAGAGGTAAAATTTGTAAGTTTGTATGCAAGGGGTAATCTTTGGAACCGCTAGTCGCATTACCAAAATTCTTTCACTGATAGGTAGCTACAATGTTCCTGAATGCTATAAAACATCACGCTACGATCAAATGGAGCCGAGCAGCGGGTGAAACCGCGCGAGAATACCTTGCACATTATAAAATGGCAACATGCCCATGCCAAAGGGTTACCATTTTAGTATAAGTTAGGCACAGTGAGATCCTTACACGGGTTTTCGGATGGCACCCTTGCAGTGGCGTATGGAATTGTATATTAAAATACCGATCTTAATCGAAAACTTATCAACTGAACTTGTAGGTGCAAGCGTAATAATTTACCGCGCATCCTGATTAGAAGAAAGAACGGGATGGTTTATACTCAGTAAGAGTCTGACTGTTCCTCTCGTCAGACACTCGGTAGGAGCAGTTTTTTGAGGGTAATTTAGGTGTCTTCAAGGCTAGAGTGAATAGACTCTTAATAAACTAGTGCGCCTTACCATCAATGATTGCATCGCTGCTTACCATCAGGTGGGATCGCAGTCAAGCACTAGTTTATATGAAGTAAAAAAAAAATCGTTAAACGAACCCAGATTTCGGTTCGTGTGGCGACTGTATATGTAAAATACACCATTCCGAGTCTACAAGAGTCATACTTTGGCATGAATTGGCTGACTCGACCGGAGTAATAGTATCATTGAACTCGCTGAAACCACAATCAACCAATTTTTATTTAATTTTTTGTTTAAGAAAACTTTGATTCGCAAGTAGTAGGCTTTTCCTCCTGTCTCATAGGTACGTTTTCACAAACCAGACAGGCCCAACAACAATTTGTGAATTAATCAATGTTTGTTACAAGATTTCTTATCTCCGTAGCTACTAATTCGAATTGAATAGTTCTTTTTGTGCGTTAGTTAATTTATCGACGAAGGCTTTAGGCAAAACACCACACTACGATTTGAAGGAGCAGCGAGTGAAACCGCGCGTCAAAAGCTAGTAAGTAGGTAATAAAATATATTTATCTTTTGTAACATCACACAAAGTGTGGTTCTATGGACCCCGCAGAACGATGCACAGCAGCCAGTTGCCCTGCCACTGCGTCAACTGCACAGTCGTCTAATAACCACTATCGCATATTGACTTCGCTCAAAGTCCCTCGTCTGAGCAGGACGGAAAACCACAGTCACGTTTCCTAGACGAATTGAAATCGTTTTCGACGCAAAAATATCGTTTTGTTAGGCCCCTACGTGCGTAAATACGAAAATACGGAACCGATTGAACGCAAAACGTTTAGGGTTCCGTAATTGGTAATTTGGATTAGTTAAATCGAGGGGATGGTGAGGTTGGATGGCGTGTTTTTCAGATTTGTATTGGATTTTTTGTGGAGAAAGGAATATGGGACATATTTTCTTTGCTTTAAAAATCACTTTTGTTTATTCTTAGTGGATAGTTGAGTCTGCGTCATTGATCATTTGGAAAGAATTGTCATTGATTGATTAAGTGACATTCAAAAGGCTATCAATAAAGTATGAGTGAAAAGAGAATTGGAATCAACTCTACATATATCTAAATTGACCTTAGTTCCGCGCCTCAAAGAGCCAATAGACCACCACAAACGGGGCCCCATAGGGCTGATGTTCAGCCGGGGTTGCGGGGTAAGCGCAAAGAGGCACCGCGACCTCGGCCCAGAGCACGAGAAGGAACAGGGGGGGTTTTAGTCAGTAAGAGTCTGACACTCCCTCCCGCCTGGCCCTGGGCGGCCCTGGGCGGGAGAAGTCATTTGATGACTTTCCCCTCCGTAAAAAAAAATACAAAAATGTTATAACATCATTATGTTTAAGTATAACCAACTTTCAATAGATTATAAAACAACAAAAAAACTTACAATGTTTCTATCGCAAACAGCTGTCGCGTTTACAACCACTCAAACAACGAAACAGTCAAAACATTCAAACAAAGAAAAATTAAAAAAAAAACCCAGCTCGTTTAACACAGAAACGAGACAAAAGCCACTTAATTAAACAAACAATATCAAGTTCCAAACTTTTATCTTCAAACAAAACAATGTTTATACAGACGCCATTTTTTTAGCAATCTGTAAGGAGACGAAGAAAACCATATTAAGATGTGCGGAACCCGGTTTGGTTGGCTGCTCAATTTTCTCGAATGAATGAGTACTGCCGTCATTCCATCGCATGCGTGTGATAAATACAATATCACTGCCTGCATTATGGAGTATGTAGTGAATGGAGTGAGCGCTTGGGGATTTTAGCCGATTTTATAACATTGGTATTGTAGGTATGGTTGCTTATACGGTATTACGTCCAGTCTAAAATCAGTTTTTGATATGTTTATTTACGTTATATGATCTATTGTTTTTTTGTTTGTTTTGTTTTTTTTTTAAGTACACACTAGGATTTTCTCCTGTATCGTAGGTGCGTTTACAAACATACAATTTCACATACAGACTACACCCAGACCCGGAACAACAATTTGTGGATCACACAAAGAATTGCTCCGAGCGGGAATCGAACCACCAACACGATGCGCGTCAGGCAGTTGCCCAGCCACCGCGCTAATCGTGCAGACTATACTGATAAAATGAAGTGAAATTATTAAAATGATTATACGGATTGTTTATATGCAAATGAACTAAACAATTGCCTTACGTAAGTAATAAGGCCGCCATCGCCTTATCTCCAAAGTGCATTGCTGAACTTTGGAGATAAGGCGATTTGAGATCATCTTATTTTAAGAA